TCAATAGAAGGAGGATAAGGGGGCACTGGAAGTGGGCTGGTGCCAGGGGCAGGAGGGGAGATCCTGTTGGTGTTGGAGTGTTGTTGTAGGAGTTGGGATGTAGCATGGTTGATGGTGTGTTGTAGGATAGAGGCGTGCCTCTGTTCAAGAGTGAGAACAAAGGCATCCTCCCTGATAGGGTAGGGTGTGATTCGGAAGGGTGTGATCCTCAAGATGGCTGCATGCTCTAGGAGCTGTTGGCTGATCATCTGGGGAGTGGTGTTGTGTAGTCTGCGGAGGATGGTGGATGTGGTTGGTTGGGTGAAGTGTGGGAGTGGGGGGATGTCTGGGAGGACCTTGGGTTTGAGTGGAGTTGTGGGTAGACATGGGGAAGTCATGGTGGGTGGTAGGTGGGTTGGTGGGAGAGTTGTGTATCCTGGAGTGTTGACTGTAGTGTCGTTGCTTCAACGCAAGCAATGGAGGTTGCTTGTGAGGTGGCGAGAGGATTGATGTAGAGGGGTTTATTCAAGGGGCAATGCACTGAGGCACTGGTAATCAAGGTTTATATCAAGTTGTTGGGTTGTTGTTGCCACTGGATCAAAGGCTGTGGCCAAGTCTGGTGCAGGTATACCACTACCTGCAGGAGAAGATGGTATCAGAGCCAAAGGCTGTTAGGGATTCTTTCAGGGAGAACTGGAGAAGTCACGCTATAGCCAGTAGAGGCAGTGGTAGGGGGATCAAGGGGTGTTGTTGGTTGATGGGGCTGTGTTACTGGATGACACTGTGTTGTCTCAAAGGCTGGTACTCAATCTGTTGCAAGGGCCACCGTGTAACAGAGAGTCAAGCCAAGATGTGGAGAGGGTACTCGATTCAGGTGGAACTGGGGAAAGTCACTGGAGAGTCACTCAACAATCAGTGAGAGAGGGAAAGAGTCAGTTATGTATTAATATCTATGCCACACCACGCTGCAGTTCTGTCTGGGGCTCAATCCTTTGGAGCACCACACTCAGTAGGAGAGGCAGATAGGAGCAGTGAGGTGGCTGTTTCAATGAAGGTGTTGCACAATCTGTCTATAACCAGAGGGGCAACTTTTGTAGTTGGTTCTTGTGGGGGTGAGATCCTATGGAGAGGAGTTGGATATCCCAGGGAGGAGGCTGAAAACCTGGAAAACGCCAAGCCTGGTTGATATGTCCAAGAAAGGAAACTATGCTCAGTAACTCCGACGAAAAAGCTGAGGCAATATCCAACTTGTAACCAAATCAAGTCCTTACAGGAACTCTGTTGTTGTTTGTTGTTCCTCTTGGGGAGGAGTTAGATATCAATGGAGGGGTGTAACAGTGGGTGTCGATCAGTCAATCAGTCTGTATAGGGATAGGACTGGTTGGATCAGTAGGATCAGTTCCAACAAGGACGTCGAGAGAAGCCAAAAGTGGCCAGTGAGAAACTAAGAAAAACAGCTGTGTTTCTGTTCTCGATGGTCACTGCAGGTATCTCGTGAAGTCCTTCTTGATGATAGTAGGCTTCGGACGGAGGAAGAGGTATGTATCAGAGTAGTAGGCTGTCGTTCGATCCGTACGGAGGAAGAGGTACGGTCGCGGAAGGTACGAAGAAGAGGTACGTTCGCGGGAAGATCGATCGATTCACGGAGGAGCGAGTCTTGGATTCGATTCGAAAATCGATTCGATTCGCGAGTCGATTCAGAGGATTCGATTCGAAACCACGTCACCGGTTGCCTTCGAGGTAAGGTTAACCGAGCCTGTTGTTGTTGAGGAAGGAGAAGATCGATCGTTCGAAAAAGAGGATCGACAATGGGATTTCTTGGGCCGTCGGTAGTAAGAGCAATGTCAGTTCACTGCAGGGTATGGAGGAAACTTGCACTGCTGAGTCTACTGAAAGCCGGTGACTTCTTCTTGTGTTCAAGTTCTTCCAACTTGGCCGTCGGCGGTCGAGAATAGAAAACCCGCCCGATCTCGTAGGATTTCAATTGGGATGGCTTTCTAATCTGAACCGGGGAAGGCCGCTTTGATAGTCGCTTGATAGGAGAGGTGCGCTTGATAGGAGATACCAGAGGAGGTGTCGATCCTGTCAACCGGATGGCTTGAATGAGAGATAAAGAGAGGAAAAGGGAGTGTGTTTCCTGTGATGACGTTGAGCGGATTCCTATAGTAAAACAGTACTCTTCAACAAGATAACAGAAAACAGGCTTCCTGAGGTCCTTTCGCTTCGTTTCAATGCTTCTAATGGTGCTAATAGGTAGTGTAATGGTATAGGTATGACCGATTGGTTGTGTTTGTTGCTATCAGTGTTGTTGTTCTTGTAGTGACAGATTCAGAGGGGAAGCTCCTCGATTCGATTCGGCTTCCCATGAAAAAGTGAATCTACACCTTCAAGAACACTCTTGATAATAGACTTACCTCGTACGGTAACAATCGTTCGTTCGTTCATTCGTTCGATCGATCGGCACCAAAACAAACAATCTTGTCGGTCAAGCCCGGATTTCTCTCATGTTGACCATATGAATTCAATGAGGGAGAGAAGTCAGTGCTGCCTCGTCCCCCACGAAAACAAATACCAGGTAGCAGTGCATTGGGTATCAGTCATCATGGCGAGAAAGCCCATCAATCCATGGCTCCTTCAAAAAAGGAGCAATTTCTCGGCTTTGAGGCTGGCTGAGCCCACCAAATCAAGCAATCTCACCGCGTCCACTTACCAGTTGGTCTCCATAGTGCTTCTAGTGAAATCTAACCGTCGAGTAAGGGTGGATAATGACCTTAACTGAGCGGTAGAAGCCCATTGTCAGGATTTGAGCCTCGGAACGATAGCTTTTCCAAATAATAATAATATTGTGATATCTAGGGAAACGAGCCGGCCAACTATTGTCCCTGTCACGCACCTCTGAACCGATGTGTGCAGTCTAAAAGAGTTGATTGTGAGTGACGAGTCCCTCGATACAGTCTATCAACGCTTAGCTGGCTTAGTAAGTCATGAGAGGACTGAGACTCGACTGACTCGACTGTCACTCGATTCGAGTCGAGTCGAGTGGATCATTATCCAAGAGCTTTCAACCGGACTTTTTCTCGGAGCTGTTTCCCCAAAGGGCGAAAAAGAAGCAAACAGGAAGCGAGGACTAATAAGCGAACAGAAGGTATGCATAGTTCCGAGGCTGGAACAAGTAAGTATGCCTTAAACGGTACAGCTGTACCGTAGCACTGTAGCTCCTATGTCCATAATTAAACATAAGTTGTTCCGGTGAAAGTTGCTTGTGTGCAGCAGTTTCCTTTTACAGACATAGTTTGAAGAATCATTTTGAGAGGTTGCCTCAGACACTCTGATGAGAGTCCCAAAGTACAAAGCACTTTAATTTCTTTTTTTCTTGGTGGTACCAGGTACCAGCTTCGAAACATCCATTCTTCAAACACTGTGAGGTACCGGCATGCTTTAACAGTGCTCCCAGGTACCAGCCTTCAATTCCATGCGAACCATCATTGAATACTCCTGAGTAGAAACCAAGAAACAAGAAACCAATAATATTGAGTCCACTACAAGTAGCCACTTCCTTAGGAAATTACGCAAAGAACACTCTATGTCTCTTTTTTAGGTGATTTACTGGAAGGTACAAGTATCTTCAAGTTTAATAATTCATTAGCATTGTCCTCTGAATGCTTTGTGCATCCTCTTCGCTCCTAAACCGAGTTGAGGCGCATGCAGTAACCATTAGAACCAGTCTGTAATGATGTTTGGAACTCATTTATAAGAAACTTCTTTGGGTGCATTTACTGGTCTTACTTGTGCGTTTTCAACCGTTGTTCCTGCTGGACAAGTAAGTCGTCGAACAGAGTCAGAACTCGAGTTCTTATATTCAGGGTTGTAAAGTGCAAGATTTATTACTTCGGACCTCACAAGTCACCTCATGCGAAGTCACCTGTTCCGAAACTTTAAACACACTTCAAGAATGATTTCCTGTATACAGTCAAGATCCAAGTGGATCTGTGCCACTGAAGGCTAGGGTTCCACGGAACGGTTTTTTTGTAAATTATTCGACATGCGGTAGACTATTATACATGTGTGTATGTATTAATAGTGGCAACTGACAGTAGAAGCTAGTATAATATATTATATAGTAGCTTGAGAACGCAGAAACGCGCAAGACCGCGCCATGTTAGTACCGGTGACGCCGTACAGAGTGTTGACAGGACTGGAGAGGAATGGCTTTTCCAGATGCTCAATAAAGTCTTATTACTGAAGCCTGACTGAGTTGCAAAGGTAATAGCTTTATGCTCTGGAATCTGGAAGCAAGCTGGTTTTGATGGCCGGATCGAACGGACAATTGGTTGAATTGAAACTACAGATCCGAGATGAACAATGAACCAATGGTTGTACTTGGAAGGAATTGTAGTTGGGGCGTCCTTTTAGTGGTCGCATAAATGAATGTCTTATGGAGGAGGCGCAAGCATCGCTCATTTAGAAGCTAATCCCAGTTGATACCAGCTAACCATATTCGATTGCAAAATAGTCATTGACCAGCTGGTTTAGTGGGTGACCAGTGAGCCATGTTCAACCTCTCGATGGCCAGTTCTTACAATTTTGTTCATGTCGGAATTGCTTCGGATCTACCGACATTGATGACCCACTCCAAAATATCAAGGATCGATAATATGAATAGTAGTCCGGCTCTTCCATACCGTATGCCATACTGGAGTACAGCGTACTAGTTCCTGGTACCAGATCAGATGTAATTCATTGTGGTTGGAAGAAACCTCCATCTTGGGACAAGGTGGTACTAGCTACCGGTAGTGCCGGCACCGTACCTGAGAGTACCGGTCCTGTGCCCTGTGCCGTTACTTTGCTTTGTTTGCCAGAAGATTTTATAACCTCATTATGGCTCCTTTCAAGTGAGAGATACGTACATGATCTGACAGTCTAAAAGTTGCTTGCAGGTGGAGCAACAAACACTTTCCTTTGTCTCTCTTCGTTCTTACTGCATTCTTACAGTGTGTACCATATCTATGATACTATTATCTCTGCTGGAAGCCTTGAACTTTCTTTTTCTAGCTAGAGCATGTTGGTGCATGTACCGTAGACTATTCAACGAGAGTTGATTATTTGGTTTTCCTCATACAGTACCGTACTGTACAGTACAGTACTCTATAGGCATGTACTCGTAGCTCTACCATACCGTACAGGGTAGCGGTAGGAGCCAGCAAACACCATCATTCTTGAACCGAAATGCAACTTGGCAGGAACAATTCGGTTTTATACCCTGTTCTCTCTCATTTCGGTTTTGATGGGTCCGCAGGACAAACCGGGCTTCTTGGGGTTCTTCTTTTACGTCTTCCTTTTCTTCTTCGCTCTGCCAAAGCATTTATGGGGACAGTCTCTTTCTACCAAGAGTACAATAAATCAGTACGATACGCTGCTTTCCCACACAGGCACAATACTCAGAGTACTTGAGTAGTCGGTTTTCCAGTTTCCACCAGGCATGGCTACCTGTAATGTAATCATAAAAAGCTCAGCGCAGCCTCCCAGTTTCAGCTACCATCCACCATCAACCGGCCACTGCCAAAAGAAAAAACACTCTAGACTCTGAATAGTAATTTCTCGCATTCATCTACCCTTGAGTGTTTCCACAACAAAGAGAGAGAGAGAAGAGAGAGAGAGAGAGAGAGCGGAATACCATTAGCTAGCGCTGGCAACTATTAATACACAACCTGAGAACGGAGAAAGTAACACAGCAAACAGGAATTCGTATCAGGCATCAGCGGAACATCTACGAGCACCTTCTGTAAGAATCATGCAGGACATTGGAAGTGATCGCATCAAACGTCGTCGGCTGAACGGAGACAATGAAGAAGACTTGGTTGCAGCCCGAGGGCGTATGTTGCAAGCGGCGGCAGCGGCAGGAAGTGACGGAGGTAGGTTCCCCAGTAGCTGATGTGCAGCGCCGCGCCATCTCGGTACGATTGATTGGTAGGGTTCTCACCGATTGGTTGGTCCTGTGTTTGCTTCGTTCAATCCAACAAACTACCGCACAGTCGGCACCAACGCTGATTTCTCGTCGCTGCTCTTAAGACAACGGATTCTCGAGCAGCAGCAGAATGAGGTGGGCTTGGCTATGCAGTTGGCGCGGTACAACGACAGCGCTTCGTCTCTTCTGGCTGGACCAGGGCCAGGAGACCTCTTGGCGGCCTCTGGATCTTCTGCGGATCTCTTGGCTGCATCTGGGAGTTCGGTTGCGACTGCTGCTGGATCGGATGATCCCATGGTGAACCATTTGCGTCAGAATCTCATCAACCAGCAGCTCCATCAACGTCTCATGGGAGGCGACGATCCATTCAGCGGCTATTTGCGCTCTCAGGAAGCGGCGTCGGTTGCGCCCTCATCGCTGTATGCGTCTTTGATGGGCGCTCGAGGAGCTGGCCCGGCTGCGACCACCACGAATTCGCTGCTCTGGGAACATATGCAGCAGCAACAGCTGGACGCGGCAGATCAGCTCTCCACGAGAACCGCTTCTGGGCGACGCGGATATGCGGCTGTTCCCGACCCCACGTTGAGGGCTTCGTACATGCAGTCTCTATTGGACGCCGAGCGGGACAACGATGCCGCGGCTGCTAGGGTGGCGGACAACGCCGCGATGCGGGCAAGACTCTTTGGTCTCCCTGATCCCAACAGCCCCGCTTCGATGCTGGCACGGCTTCAGAATGAACGCGCCGCATTGCTTGGTCAAGGACCCCCGGCTGGATTGGGTGGCGTCATGCCACCACCAAGTGCCTTTGGATCCGCTGGAAGTGCCTTTGCGCCCTCTGGATTGGATTCTTTGATTGCTCGCGCAGCTCCTGCAGGAGCAAGCGCCGGGCTTCACCGAGACCTCTTCCTGGGGCGAGGCGGTGGTGTCGGAGGCCCTCCTTCAACCTCGTTTTTGTTGTCCGCACAAGGAATGGGTGGCAGCAACAGCAACAACAACAAGAAGCGCCAACAGACAGCCGCACCGGCCCACCCCAACTCGACTGGTCGTCAGCCCATTCATCTCTACATGTCTTGCGATGACGACGACTTGTCGCCGTACCAGTGCCTCGTGCGGAAGCAGATTGAACTGTTTGAAGCGGAAGAAGTCGATGCTGAAACTAATGCTCGTGGACGCAATCGCCCTATCGTGGTCGGGCAAGTGGGTATTCGGTGCAAGCATTGCAAGATGCTCCCCCCCAGAAAGCGCGAACGTGCGGCTATTTACTACCCATCCAAATTGGATCGTCTCTACCAAGCTGGGCAAACCATGGCAAGCGTGCATCTTGGCCAGCACTGCAACCACATCCCGGCGCACATCAGAACCGAATTGGCTCGATTGCGAGAAGGAAAGTCAGCTGCTCTCGCTGGCAAGAAGTATTGGTCGGATGGAGCGAGAGCTTTGGGTGTCACCGAGGAAGATGAGCGTCTCTTCTTCCGCAAACAGAGTTAAAGCAAAAGCAAACGAACCACGTGTGAAAAAAGCCAGAGAAAGCAGGCTGGAACAAAACGCAGCCGCACAGTTAGTTAAGAACCGTGTACATAGACCATTAGTATATTGCATTAACGTTAGTCTGAAGTCTTATGGCACCAGTGCAAGCACTGGGTAGATCCCAGAAGTACGACGAAAGGGTCAAAACAACCTTCGACCCTCCCTTGCTGTTCTCGAGTACTGGATGGGGGCTCGTCGATTGGGGCTCCACAGTACCGTAGTGAAACAAAGCTTGCGAAACATAAGAGGCAAGCCTCGGCGCGGGAATACACTAATAAACTGAATGTCGAAGGCTTACTACATGGTTGGTGGCTGGGTGCGAGAGAGGAGTTCCACTAGAGTACAATGGTGACTACCGTACCGGTACAGGCCCACCTTGCAGGATGAGTGCTGTCGGACTTGCTTCGTGTCGAGGGGAAAAAATGCATCAAGCAAACAGAATTCATCCAATCCATGCAATTTGTATTCTGACAGCATCAAAGATGGAGAGCATAGCATTCTGACTGGCTGATCAAATGTTGATTCTTCTGTCACGGTTGTACCGGTAAAAAAAATGCATTGTAGCTTGAATAAAACGTCAAGGATGTCCAAAAGAATTTGCCCCTGCTACTATAGCTAGCTAGAAACAGGACTGTGGCCCTGGGCGCTGTCGATTGCAACCTGCAAGCAATTGTACCCCGGACTGCCGATGGCAACGGGACCAACCATCACCCACGCAGTGCTCGGGCCACTTTTTTGAAATTCACGCTCCGCTATTCCTCTACGGTACCGTACGGTATTGGGTTCGCTTCAGACCGTACGACTTTACCGGTACTAGCTAGTACCTGGTAGCTACCAGTAGTACCGCTGGCGTCAGCCATGGTAGAGGTGCGAGGGAAAAGCAAGGAGGCCTGCACGGGCTTGTATGTTCACACCCTTTCTTGCACTATGCATCTGAACTCTGCACCACTATTACGCGGCAGGATCCCCATTCAGCAATCTGTTTTTCCCATTGGCCGATCTAGATCCAGCCAACAAATGGTATTTTCCCATTACAAGATCTAATATCTAACCTGGAATGGTAGTTACGAATTGACATTGGGTATACCACCGCCCATTCAACAATCCCATGGCACAATCGTAGCAACTGCATTTGCAAACCGTTCTAAGAGGTGTTTCATGTAGCCGTTGACTTGTTTGCACAGTTGCCTTATTCAAAGGCCAACATTTGAAACACAAAGCCAACGACTAACAATAGAACAAGTACATGTACAACCTTCCACTATCATCTCATTAATCGTAGCCACAAGGAGCTTTGGTAACATGGATAATAGGGTATACAAACCATCGCTTGAGGCGAAAGAGTTTCTTGAGCAAGCGGACAAGCTAGACAAGATGTTTGCCCCCATGCCGCCGGATCCTTTCTACCGCCGCTCATCAGCTAAGCGAAACAAGAAGAAGATGAAACAGCTCAAGATCCAGAAGGCTATCGGCCAAAGCCAACAACCAACTTCCAGGGTGTACCAGTTGACAAATGCACATACGTGCCTGAGTTGGAGCTGTCTGTATTCATGCATACTAACTACCTAAAAGCATGGAAGAAACGACAGAAGCAGCCACACTTTTTCCACATTGCAACTGACGCACAGTACTGCCATCAATGTTACCTGCAGCCATGCTCTGCCAGACTTTTGGATAACCAGTTAGAGTTTGATGCCTGTATTATGAAAGACCTAGCGGAGATGACCGAAGAAGAGTACAGAGAGAAGCTCCGCCTGTACTACCGAGCTCAGCTAGTAAAGCTACAAGGTAAACGCACTATCAACCGTCAAATGCCAACAAACAATGACATTCCCCTTTGTGCAAAGAAGCTAACTGCTAAAATTGCCAGCATCGAAGCCGGTGGATATGACAGTCTATTCGAAGAACGCAACCCATTCTCAAGCAGCCTCAAAGCTACCAAAGCCCCCACCGGTACCTGTACCGATACAGTGGAATACCTGTCTGAATCGGAGGAAGAAGCATGCTTCGAGTAGATAGATGCTTTATTAGTAGTAGTGGTTAAATCTTTACTTAGTATTTCCGGCACTGAAAGCAACGAAAGGTTTAAAGAACAACAGCAACCCACTTAACCCAACCCTAGTGCTGCTAGTCCAGTTTGAACAGACTCAAAAGATACTTTTTTCCAACGGATGCACGACTCAAAATAACAAGAGACAACAAGTAGGATCGCCACGATCAATCGTACCAGCATAAATCAAGCTTGCATGCAATTTGTACCCACCCCGTTCCGGGATCCGATGATCAAAGAGCGTTTCTGAAAACAAGTGAACCTTTCTTTGATGCAATCTTGGCATCGGTTGACGCTTTGGATGAGAACTCTATTGTTGGCGACTATCCTAGCCAGATGCATTATTATCGACCATGCTGGTATGGAAATAATGCGCCTGCATTCGCTGCCTCTTGGTATACTTGGGCAAACTTGGAGCCTTTCAGTAAAACATTCTTCTAGACACAATCCAAAGTTTCACAAGTACATATAATTTAGCCCAGCACTGATGAGTCTCACAGAGGAGATGAAAGAGTCACGCCAAAACCGAAAAGTTACCACAGAGGCTGAAAGCCTGTGTTTTAGCGATTTGGCAGTTGGTGACCTGTTCCAGTAAAATTTACTTAATCCAGTCACTCTTTGCTAAAATCGTATAAAACATTCTTCTAGTAAACAAAACATAGCAATAATGCTTAGCAATATATACCTCCCCCAGCTTTGCTAACTTCTCTGACTTAGCGAGCATCACTAGGGCTGGAGCTTCTCAGGCTTTTTGTATCCGACTTAATTAGAGATAGGGATTCATTGATACCTTCTTACTAAACTTGCCGTTGTTATTATCAATCAATAATAACCACCATGGTGATGGAAGATCGGTTCCAAGGAGATGGAACTGGCCCATCCTGACCCCATGTGCGTGTCCGCAGGGTGCCAATTTGTTGGGGTCCGGGTTGTCTGCTGATCAAGGGGGCACTCGGGGCCCAAAAAGTCAGCAAGATTTGCTGTCGCTGGGATGTGTAGCCGGCTTGCCGGTATCATGGTTTCGACATGAAGGAGATGGAACTGCCCATCCTGACCCCATGTCGTGTCCGCAGGGTGCCAATTGGTCTGGATGAAGTTGTCTGCCGATCGAGGTGGAACATGGGGCCGTAAAAACAAAATTTTCTGTTGTTGGATCTGCCGCCGACATGCAGGTCATGGATCGACATGAAGGAGTGGAACTGGCCGCTCCTGAACCCATGGCGTGTCCGCAGGGTGCCAATTGGTCTGGTGAAGGTTGTCTGCGATCGAGGTGGCACATGGGGCTTAGAAAACAAAATGTTCTGTGGCTAGGATTTGGCGCATGCATGCAGGCATCATGAGATCGACATGAAGGAGATGGAACTGGCGCTCCTGAGCCCATGAGCTGTCCGCAGGGTGCCAATTGGTCTGGGTGAAGGTTGTCTGCCGATCGAGGTGGCACATGAGGCCGTAAAAAACAAATTTTCTGTTGTTGGGATCTGCCGCCGACATGCAGTATCATGAGATCGACATGAAGGAGATGGAACTGGCCCTCCTGAACCCATGGCGTGTCCGCAGGTGCCAATTGGTCTGTGTGAAGGTTGTCTGCCGATCGAGGTGGCACATGGGGCTCTAGAAAACAAAATGTTCTGTGGCTGGGATTTGGCGCATGCATGCAGGCATCATGAGATCGACATGAAGGAGATGGAACTGCCGCTCCTGACCCATGAGGTGTCCGCAGGGTGCCAATTGGCTGAGTGAAGTTGTCTGCCGATCGAGGTGGCACATGAAGCCGTAAAAAACGAAATTATCTGTTGTATGGTACATCGCCGACATGCCAGTTTTATGGTATCAACCTCAACGAGATGGAACTGGCCGCTCCTGAGCTCATGAGCGTGTGTCCGCCGGGTGCCATTTGGTCATGGACAGTGTTCCCTGCTGATCGAGGGAACACATGTGGCACGAGGAAAGAAAAGTCTGTGTTGCTGAAGTCAGTTGTCGACTTGCCAGTTTGATGATATCGACCCCAAAGAGATTGAACTCTAAATGCATTGTCTTCTGAATCTTCTTCTGTGAACTGGGATCAAGCTACGTGAGCATGAATGCATCAGCATGTTCTTATTCATATATAATCGTCTGCAGCCAACTGGTTTTATCTTTTAGTACTTAGTATAAATTTGTATGTGTGTCTTTGTTGAGAACTGCACAAAAGTGAAGCACATATATTCTTGACGAGGCATATACCATGTCGATCCATGTGCTTGAAATAGTATCACCCAGTAATGAGCCTTTTATCCGACCGAGCACTACTATATATGTACCACATGCGCCAAAGCCACATTTAGAGAACACTGATGCTGGCCACCAAGAAAGAACATAGTATCTATCTCTCATCCAGATAGCTACTGCTCATGATGGAATTGTCAATAGAAAACTCTGGAAAGATAGCTGTGTGTGTGTCCATCCAGAGTCGTCTGAGCTTCCCTGATTGGGGAGGAAAATAGTATCCGTCATCAGATGCATCGTCGGCCCAGCAGAAGATGAAATAGCTCAAAATTGAGAAGGCTATAGGCAACATGTCGAAGCCAGCCAATGATCAACTTGCTTCCAGGGTGTACCGTTTGATAAATGCACATGTGTACACGAGCTGGAGCTGTCTGTATTCATGCACAACAACTACCAAACAGCCAGCATGGAAGAAACAACAGAAGCGGCCACAAAGCAACTGACGCACAGTACTGCCTGCCATCAATGCTACCTGCAACCATGCTCTGCCATGCTTTTGGGCAACCAAGTAGAGTTCAATGCCTGTACCGTGAGGAAGGACCAGCCAGGCAGAGATGACCAAAGAGAAGAAGAGTACAGAGAAAAGCTGCACCTGTAACGTACTACCAAGCTCAGCTAGTAAAGCTAGCTACAGGCCAAACGCATTGTCAATCGTCAAATGCCTACCAACAATGACATCCCCCTCTGCCAAACAGCTAACTGCTAAATTGCCAGTATCGATTGGATGAACCCAACCCGTTCACAAGCACCCTCAAAACCACAAATCTACCGCTGACAACAACAACAACAACAACGTTCCAGCAGTCAATTCATCCGATGAAGCAGAAGAGGAAGCATACTTTGAGAGCAGCCAGATAGCCAGCTTGCATTATCAGTACGTAGTTGTTAAATCTATGATACTACAATCTCACTCTCATTATGCTCACTGGGAAACGTGGCAATTGCAGCATCCTTATTGTTGGACATTGTCAGTTGCGCCGTCTACTACTACTCTTGTTATGGATCTGACCCATTCGCCCCTAATAAAACTTCGTGGTCATCTGTACTGTTTATATTATTGTTACTCCGGTTTGGTTCTTCTTGGGGTCCATTGAAAATATTCATAGCCGCTTGTCTATATAGTTTGCCCGACATCTGGTGCTGGATGTATGCTAGTTGTGGCGTTCCTAACATACCCCCCTGGTTCTGAGCATTGCAGCCTGTGTATAAATTCACTATTGATCTGGTGGTAGGGTTTTACATGTATGTGCATCTAGAGAAAGGTAAACTTTGAATGAATGATCACAATAAAAGCATTGAAACATATCGACATAAAATGAGCAGGAGCAAGTGGCTGACGAAAATTCTTCTAGATCAGTTTATTTGCCAAAATATGAGATAAATGATGCATAGAGTCTATCTAGCACGTCAGACCTCCCTGTAACTGCAAGAGCAAACATAACAAAGACGATCCAGCACGCATGCCTTCTAAAAAACTGTAAGATCCATCTAGCGATCCATTTAAAAACATAAAAGCAGCAGGCAGGCGCACTAAAAAAGAACTGGGGGCATTGGGAGAGACTTACTGTCTATTTTACCGAGTATGATGCTTGCCTCATTGTTTTGCACCAGAAAACAAGCAAAGTAAGTTGCGACGATGGCAGAAAAGTAAGCATGCTGATTATTGACGACTGGTCTAATATCGGTGAAACTGTGGGGTGGACTACTAACAAGCTGTTTTGTCTTATCGTGCATTTTGTTGCTGATCAAATAGTGATTTTGAAGAATACAAGTAGAGCTAGTACAAGCGACGTGAGTAAGCTTCGGAGTTAACTGAACTGATTACTATTTGATGGCCTGAACTCATCATGTGACAAATCTCTTTCTCATTATTAGCAGGTGCTGCTAGCAGTAGCTCCTCAGAATTCACACCCATTGACAGAGACGGGAGCAAGAAAACAACTGTTGAGCAACAAGGAAAGAGTCTACAAGGCTTTAATAACATCGAGTCGGGATGAGCATGCTAACCGGATTGATGAGATCTGAATAATATCGATTAAGCTACCAAGAAAACTGAATTTGTTATTTGATGGCCTGAACTCACCATGCGATAAATCTCTTTCCTAGCAGGTGCTGCCAGCAGTAACTCCTTGGAATCCACATCCAGTGACAGAGATGGGGTCATAGGAGGGACAGGAATCCAAACAAAACCATGTGCTCTTCAAACTGTTGAGCAACAAGGAGTGATTCATTGCAGAGCAAGAAAAAAGGATGTTGCCCCTATCCTATTCATATTTACAACCACAGATGGTGATAACAAGAATCAAGTTGGTGCTGGTTTTTCTGAGTGTGCCATTGCCATGGACTTGATCAAGCAACGCTATGAAATTTAACTAGAAAATTGGTCCAGATGGTACATACAACAACTAATCGTTAGAAAAAATGTGTTACAATATGACTTATTAGCTATTAGATAGACCCTTTGTACTTTCTTGTCTACCATTGGCGAATCCGCATTGCTAATCTGCATTCATCACTATCATTCCAAAATAGGTAGTCTCATAACTTAATAGGCCCAAAGATTAGGAATTAAGTCTAACCATTGTGGGTCTATTACAATTAACGTCATTTAGGATACTTCCATTCGGTAATCATGTGGCAAATATTCGCTAATCATGTGAAAAGATTTGGAAATGGGGGGACCAATTAGTAATGGTCTCGCTGTCTCTCTGATGGTACCATTGAATTGTTGATGGTAGCATTGATTTGTTGTTAGTTCCAAAGAACCCTTGATCATGCCATTTAATTCTTGATGGTTCCGAAGAATTCTTGATGGTACTGTTGATTTGGGATTCAAGAATTAAGATTTAAGAACCAAAACCCCGGCTTGTAAATCTGAAAAGGGGTTTGTTCAAAAATGAGGTAAGACCGTTAGTGTATCAGAGCTATCATCCGGGAATAGTGGTGCAGTGTTCAGATGTGGTTTTTAGTTCCTTAGTTTAGAGACAAAACAAATTTTTTAGACCCCCTCTTGCTGCAAGGTCTGATGATGATGCAGCTTCCGTGGTGCTGTGGCTCCTGCTTGCTCTGAAACCTGTCCGACAAGAGTCAAGATCACGGAAAAAACAGGAGGGTTCACACTAATGGTACAAAGAAAGAGTCATTGGGCATCCGGCTTGACTCCAAACTCTTTTAGCCAGTTTTCCAGTCAACGAGATCCGCTCCGATATCATTCCTCTCGCCGGGCCCCGCACCAACCGCCACCAAACCTACTGCCTGCCTCCGAGGAATCATGCATGGAAATAAGGATCTATTACTTTACACTGTGCTCTGCTCAAGCAGCCCAGAGTTTTGATACGCTGACTAAAGCCAGACTCTTCTTTGAGCGAGAGACCGACTCACTGCCAGCTGGGTGGGGCTACAAGGCAGCCAGCACTAGTATGAAGCCTATCTTTGAAACAGCAGCAATCACAAGGTCCAGGAGCCCTGACCAGCCAGGCTGAGGCCAAAGCCCAGCACGAACAGCCGCAAAACAAGATCCATCAAATGCAGCAGAAAGTAAGAGTGCCATCATCTAGATTGGAGTCCCAGCCACCACGAAAGCTCCCATCAAAGAGTTCTTGAAGGGCGCGGAAGGATGCCCCACAACCGCCTACTCCTAGCACTGAGGACCCAAAGGGCGAAATCAGCCCAATTGGGGCTGAAGGGGATGATAGCAAAGCCCAACCCAGCCACGTCCCCACCCCTACCTAGTAGCGAGTACCAGCCAAGAACCAGACGGAAACCTCCCCCTCCCCCAAGGGCACAAGAATGCGGCTCCCTGCTAGGTGCAAGGTTCGGTACCGGTATGTACGTATGTACGTATGTACCCTGCAAAAGTGCCAGCAGTACGGGGCAGCCAGATGTCTGCACCATGCACCCACGCACAGCAGCTGATGTGCAATCAGGACGGTTAAGTAAAAGTTGACTTTGGGGAAAATGGGGTTTTCGAAAGGAAAAGTGTTGAAGTTTTGAATTTTTAGATTTAACAGCACTGAAACTGTTGAAATTGGTTCAACACTGTTGAATCTCCTTTAAACACTAATTCAACAGAGATTTAACACTTTTCAACAGGGATTCAACACTTATTCAACAACTTCCACACTTCCACTGACTATAGATTCAACAGTAATTCAACAGGGTTTCAACACGATTCAACACTTATTCAACAGTTTTTCAACAATTATGAATCTCTTTTCAACACTTTTCAACATGGGTGAAAAGTAGACAACTTGTTTAAGGATTGGGGAACCTTCAAGTCCAGTTTACCCAAAAATCCAACTTTTTCCCCTTTTACTTAACCGTCCAGGACTCGGGCGGGAGGCATCCACCAAATTCACAACTTACGAACTGGACTGTGCGTAATAGCTGCGTAATAGCGCTAGTAGCTGCCTGGTAGCCATTCCGGGAAACACCTGTCCGAAGATCGGCTCCCGGTGCATGCCGGGACACCACACACCACATCCGGCAGCAGCAGCAGCAAAATTAATAAGAAAACAATAGTGCAGGCGACCTTTTTCGCGGGTTCTTTTCCACTTTCCACTGAGCCCTCACTGGCCCACCTGAGCCCACCTAAGCCCACATCCTCTAGCTAGCTAGAACTAGAATTGTGCTCTGTTAAAAGGGAAAACATAGATAATGCTGCGATGAAGGACGCTGGTATGAGGAAACTGGAAAAGCTCTGGACACTGGAAACTGGAAGCTGCATTGGTGTTGAAGCCATTTTGCGAACGGTCACTCGAACGGTCACGGTGGATGGCTGGCGACCGTGTAATACGTGTTATACGTATTATACGGGAATACGTAGAATACGCATTGTACGTATTACATGTATTACATCGCGTGCGTTTGAGGGTCTCTCATCCGAAAGCTCTCAAACAGTAGTTGCGGTAAATATAAAGCTAAGGTTATTATAACTGTTAGAGATTTCCATATAATTACCGCATCTACTGGTACGTTCAAATCAAAGCTGTTTTCTTGCACCAAGTTGCCACCACGCACTCCTCCAAAATCAACCATCACCAGTTCATTCAACCAAGTACATGTAAGTGTTCGGATTAACTACTGAGTGAAGCGTGTCTTGACTTGAAAAGGGAACATCATTTTGTAATCTTCATAAACAACAGTCTCGTTGTTGTGGCCATGCAGTTTTTTGATTAAGGACAATTTTTAACTATTGTAAGATGATGAGCTATGATCAAACTACGGCTTATGGGTGCACGAGCATATACGCAACTAAAGGGCAATATAAGTATCTGATATCAGCCTTGTCTATAAGATTATTTGGCTGGGATTTCAGGTTTTGGACGTGCAGAAGTGCTGGCTCGTGTTTTGGTGACTAGACGTAGACTACCGGTATGAGTGGCAGTATTCCCATTTTCCATTTCAATGCTGCGGTACGACTGTACAAGGTACTGCATCCAAAGTGAATGAAAATACAGTACACTCGAGGAGTAAGTTTGATCCATTTCGGATTGTGCCGGATTGGTATTTCATGAGTGGTAGATGTTTTCTTACAAGTTGGTGTATTCCCAAGAAGAGATTCGAATGATTCGATTCAAGGCCTAGAGCCAGGTAGAGACTCTTTACATGCTGGGGTTGTTGGTAATGTATAAAACCCTCATGGGGTCAATTAATTGTTCTCCAAGCTGAAGCATCATGGTTTATCAAAACCTCGGCTATAGAATAACTCCGGTACTTGCGAATTCGCGACCACGTGAAATGCCACCCTGGCGTTCGCGTTGCCGGAGGATCTCAAGGGCGCCGTTTGACACTTTGGAAGCTAAAGTAACTAACTGTGCTCCAAGTCCGTCATGTTGGGGCTTTGGACACCCAAGCACCCTGACACACGGTCTGTTTGCAAAACGTACATATTATTTCTTATGTTCAGGTTTATAACCAAAAGTAAACTCCATGACAAATACTGGTGGTGGACCCGCGCCATTTGAAAGATTTAACATTCAGGTCTTAGTCCAAGCTACAGAAAATCAGTAGTGGGGATGAGCACAGTCTTTCCAAAAGGAGTACTCAGCATGGGCCCACAGTAAAGCGGTACCTTGGACAATACACGGGGTACCGGTAGCAGAAGTGCAGTTTGGAGGAAAGCTCATCATCTCCTTCGCCGAGCTTTCCTAACTCATCCGCTCAACACGAAGACAGATGCATTGCCCGCCTCATGCATTCCTCGTTCACGCTGGTATAAACAATTAGTTTCAGTTCGGGTTGACGCGCTGACCTTTTACAACTTACCACCGAACACTAATCAAGCCATTCTGTATCAGGGAGTGGCTCCTGTAGTGCACAACATTTGATTTGATTGAATGATCAATCATTCGGTGGGAAAAGGAGAATAATACAACAATGGCGGACGGAGGAGAAGATCCTTCTCGCGGAATGAAGAGAGAACGAGAACGTGAGCAGGACGACGGTAAGCCTGAGTGCAAAGAAGCTGATGCCATGAGGATTCATGGCGACGACATTGAATTGAGCTCGATGGTTGCCAAATATGCAGACCGATGGTAGATTCTGATAAGAGATGGTTTAAATTGAACCGTGGCTAATTGACTGCATGCTTTTCCTTTGATCTCGTTTGTCCACAGAGATGGAAGCAGCTGCGAGAGCCGTACGTGCCCGCAACCAAGCATTGATCGGGGCGCCAGCTGGAAACCAAGGGCTTGGAGGGATACCCCCAGGCAACCATGCCATGGCTGTGGCGAGGGCCATGGTTGCAAACCAAAACAGCTTTGCTTTGCAACAGCAACAACGCCAACAGCAGCTCAGGACGCCACTTCTCGGGGGGTCTGCGTTGCAACTAAACCAACTTTCGGCTCCACTGGGTGGTTTGCCTCCAATGGCCGGTGTCCCAAATCTTCTAGGAGCGGTGGGCGGTGTGCAAGATCCTGCAATGAGAAACTTATTGCTCTCGCAAATGCTATCCGGTCGCAACCAAGCCATGCACGTGAACCCAGTCAGCACCCAGGCAACAGGTCATGCGAACCCCCTTCTGCAGTCTCAGGCTGCAGGTCTGCCAATGGCGGCCATGGGACACTCTCAACATCCAACACAAAATCATGCACTTCTGCTTAGTCAGCACCAGGCTCTTCAGCATCAACAGGCCTCTCATTCTCTGCTTAACAGCCCAACCGCAGCTGTAGATGCATCCAAGAGCGGGGCAACTCAGGGTGCTGTCGCCTCGGTGGCCTCGCTTCCAGGAAACACCTTGGGCCAGCCTCAGGCAAAACGAAATCCAGCGTCCAAAAGCGATGAAGGCGAGCCCGATGAAGACGCAGATCCAGGTTTCAGACCAAGAAGAGACAGCGAGTCCGGAGAGCGCAGTTTGATACTGTATGTACCCTCGGACGATGAGAGTCTCTCTCCGTTTCAATGTTTGGCCAGAAAACATATTGAACTGTTTGAAGCTCAGCAGGAAGATGTGGAAGCAGGTGCACAAGGAAGAAACAAACCAATAGTCTTGGGACAAGTTGGGATACGGTAAGGTGTTGAAACAGTTGGCTAGTCTGTCTACGAACTAGTTTTACGTGCCTCGACTGATCAGGTTTTCTTATCTTTTGTTGTTGCTTCCTCGACTGACTCCAGGTGTGTCCATTGCAAGATGCTACCACCAAACATGAGGGCGAGAGCTGCCGTCTATTACCCTTCCAAGCTGAGCGTGCTTTACCAAGCTTGTCAAAACATCGTCAACTTACATCTTCCGCAGCTGTGCGACGGTGTGCCAGATGATGTCCGATCCGAGTTGCTCAGCCTGGGGAAAAAGAAGTCGGCTGTGGGCGGAGGAAAGAACTATTGGAGTGATGCTGCCGAAATCCTGGGAGTCCGAAACACTGATGGCCAAGGACTACGCTTTCAGGATAGTGCGGTTGACGAGTAGTCTGCTGGAAGCGGTACGGTACGGTACGGTACGGTACGGTACGGTACGGTACGGTACGGTACGGAGAAAACGGATTCTGATCATTATCTCTGCGAAGCTATTTAGTCTTCTTACTAGCTACTTGTACCGGCTAGCCGGTACTAAGAACAATGATACCCGTCATGATCACAGACACCTTCAGATTTGAAGATCTACTGCTACCTACCGGTAGCCAGCTTAGCAGCTGCTGCCTGTAGCACGCTTTGCGTATTGTGTTGGTTGATGCCTGCGTCATGCTGTGGCCGGGAAAAGGTACATGCACCACTCTTAACGATGTATCCCATCGACTCGCACGCAGAGGCAGAAAGTGCCAATTCGAACCCCACCCCACCCCCAATGGTGCTTATTTTGCGGGGGGAGGGGGAGGCATCGATTTGGAGCAGTCTGCCTCTGAAAAGGAATCTCGAGGATGGAAGCCTAGTTTCGTCTAATAATTTAGCTCTACCAAGCTAGCTTTCTTCTTCCTCCGTACGTGGCCTTATCTGTAATGAGAAAGAAAGATGGCCAATGGTTAGACAAATTCTTCTTCATTGAACAGACCAAACAACAGTGTATCTTACCATGGCTGACAGTGCAAAGAGGCTCAGCAGAAGGCAGGCAGGTGCTTCTCCAGAGATAAAGGAGACACCCAAGCAGTTGTCCTCTATCCACAGAAGAGATAGGGAGAGAGACCTAGGGATTGGACCTTCTTCCCACCTGGTAGGAACAGCCACACCAAAGTGACAAAGGTGGAGGGAATAGACTTTCAATCTCCCAATGTTGTTGCCAGTGGAGTCAACAAGTCTCATGTCACTCCCCTTTCCAGTGCCAAGAGACACAGTAGAATGAAAGTAAAGAAGAATCCATTCCTTAGCAACAAAGGAGTACTCAATGATAAACCTTCTGCCAAGTCGGACAACAAGCGTTGTATCATAGAGGAAAAGGGAATGTCAGAACTGAAAGAGAGGAATACTATTTGTTCTCATTGCAAGAAGGGTCGAGTGAAACTTACCTTCCGTCATTGTGGTGTGGCCACCATTCCTCGATTGTCCTGTAATACTTGTGCAGTGAGTGATGAGGGTGATGTGGCCAAGACAAGTTGGCAAAAGATGACTGCCCATGAGCAACTTACGGACTATGAGCTGAACTTCAAGTTTGTGCAGGCCTTTGTCGGTTGCGGCGATGGTCCAACAGAAGCTAGTCGGTTCCTAACTTTCTGTTCAGTGCCGAACGCAACAACCATGAAATCAAACACATTTGGGAGTATGGAAGCCGCGGCATCTTCCACGATCGAGGAGATTACCAGAGAACAGCTCACAGCCAATCTGTTGAAGGAAGTGGAACTGACCATGGCCGAAGACAATGACTTTGATTTCGAATTGTGGAAATGAACTTCAAGAATGGACGACCAAGATGCAGTAAGAGCAGTGCCAGAGTTAGCTGTGGAATGGACATGGGATGGCAAAAGAAAGGAAGTGGTCGAACTTACGATTCCCATTCTGGTCATGCATGTTTGTTCGGAGCACGCTGGAGGTTGCCGATAGCACTCAGTACCAAGTCCAGCCACTGTTCAATCTGCAGCTGGCATCGTGCCAAAGGCAACAATCCACCTGAACACACTTGTAAAATCAACCACACTGGAACAGCTGGAGCCATGGAATCTAATGCCCTTCTCGATATGATCCACGAGTTGTGGAATGCGTTCAACGTGCATGTGGAGGAAGTGATAACTGATGATGACAGTACAATGAGGGCCAGCTGTCAATGGTCAAACAAGGATTGGATGAAACATGAGAATCGGACTGACATCAATCTTCGACGTGACAGTCGAGGAAAATTGGTGAAGCGTAAAGAAGGGTATCTTCAGTATCCAATACCCCCCCCCCAACGTTTCTTGCAGATCCAGCTCACCGGAAGAAAAGATTGAAAACGGTTCTGCACAAACTGAAAAAGAAAAAGAAGTGTGTCAACAAAGGCCTTCAAGAAGGTGACATCATTGGTTTGTCCCAATTCTATATTTACATGGTTCACCAAAACTTGAAGTATCCCGAAGAAGAATGGGTAGAAAGAGCCGAATGTTGCTTGGATCATCTGTTCGACTGTCATGCAAACTGCGGCGATTGGTGTATCCGGAAAACTGCCACCGAGGAGGAGAAGCGACAATCAACCAAAGTATACCGTGACATGGTGAAAGATAAGGAACTGTACGACCTGTTGAAAGAAGTGATGCAGCCATTTACAACAATTGAAGCGATGAGGGAGATTTGTCATGGATACGACACCAATCCAAATGAATCATTGAACAATACAATCAGCTGGCTTGCCCCCAAGAACAAAACTCACTGTGGATCGGCGTCCCTTCGAAACAGAATCTGTACAGCAATCTGCATTCAATCAATGGGGTTCGATGGATTCTACTGCAATACACGGCTCTTAGCCTTATTCGCGGCTCGATCCTAGATAGGGTTTGAGTTCGACTCATGACTGAGTCTCTCATGAATAGTTATTGAGACAGGGTTCTCAATGACCGCTCTAGTCATACTAGGTTGATGATGAAACATCGCTCTAGATATTTAGCCAGCATGGAGTACTTCCACGCTACTAGATCCATGCTAGACGAATCTTCCACGCGTTCCGTTTTAGGATCGTGGAGATACGTAGGATTACTACCGCAACCTACTCTATCACACTTTATAGTCTCCCGCGGGAGACCAGATCTATGATCCTTTGATGGTGATCTCTCTCGTTGATTAGTTTTCATAGCTTTCTAATCTCTCTCATAACTTTCATTCTCTCAAACACAAAACACTCGAAAGATCTTTACACTAGCTTTTAGCGTATTGCATTTTGTTAACAAACACAATAGCTTTCAGTTACCCTCAACCTATTCCTTCACCATGAAGATTGCTCAAGGAAAGCATGCGTTCACCAACTTCGAGAAACAGTTGCGTGACAAATCCATTCTTCCTCTCGTCGACAATGACAAAGACACCGAGATCGACGATTCTCGTGCAACCACCTACAAACTTCGCACCGTTCCTGCAGATGCAAACAGTGCCAAATACACCTTCAAGGTAGCCATCATCAATGGTTCCAACACTCCACGTCAGACCATCAAGTGGGCTACGAATATGGAGAAGGTCTTCGTTGGACTCAACCTTGCTAGTCCCGACGACAAACATCGCCTTCTCAAGGAGATGACTTCCAGCTCTGCGAAGAGTACCTACGAAGCTGGGTGTGCAGGCCATCGTGCCGTGCGTCATAACGCCCTACGACAAATTGCTGTGAACGCAATTCCTCCACGCGATGTGACTTCTGGAGAAACCGAAGTAGCCTTCCAGGCTCGTGTCCAAGCCGCATGGGACGGTGCAGCGGAACCCGCTCTAAGCGATGCTAACATCATGCAATACACGGCTCTTAGCCTTATTCGCGACTCGATCCTAGATAGGGTTTGAGTTCGACTCATGACTGAGTCTCCAGCCACGTATTGTCGCGTGGAGGATGCCGTTGACGCAATCTGGACAGGGCTTTCCAACGTACATTCACGGTGGCCTTGCACAGCTAGATTCGTAGCTGCTCTTTGCAGAGCTAGAAGTCATTCCCTGAGGAGGTTGTGTTGTCGTCAGGCGTAGCAAATGGCGAGCCAACGAAGACCTTCTCCATACGTCCAGCCCACTTGATGTCTGACGTGGAGTCTCAGATCGATTGATGATTTGACTTGAAGGTGTACTTGGCGGCTGTTGCAATCTGCTGGAACGTGCGAAGTTTGTAGGTGGTAGGGAGAATCGTCGATTCGCTTTCATCGTCAGGTTATGAGAGAAGGATTGGTTTGTCGCACAGCTTTGACTCGAAGTGGTGATCGCATGCTTTCTGGCAATCTTCATGGTGAGGAATAGGTTGAGGGTAGCTGAAAGCTATTGTGTTTGTTAACAAAATGCACTACGCAAAAGCTAGTGTAAGATCTTTCGAGTGTTTTGTAGTTTGAGAGAATGAAAGTTATGAAGAGATTAAAAGCTATGAAAACTATCAAGGAGAGAATCCACAATCAAAGAATAGATCTGACTCCGGGGAGACTGTAAGTGTGATATGAGTAGGTTGGGTAGATCCTACTCACGTCCACGATCCTAAAACGGAACGCTGGAAGATTCGTCTCATTATCTAGTAGCGTGGAATACTCCAGCGGGCTAAATATTAGACGCGATGTTTCATCATCACACTAGTATGACTAGAGCGGTCATGAGAACCCTGTCTCAATACTATTCAACAA